TTTCCTGTACTACAGACTAGGGACAATGATGTCTACCTCACAGGATTGTGTAGATTAAGTCGGTGAATGTCAGTGGAGTGTCGAAGAGAATGAGTGTCACCTGATAAATAAAGCACGATATGCCTGTGGTTTCCATATTTATTACTATTGTTGTTGTTGTCACTATTACATTATAAACTCTGTCAAAGAGTTTATATAGTGATAATAATAATCATCACTATTATTAGTAGTATTGCTGCTGCTGCTCCTCCTACTGGGGTTAAACTTAATCTTTATTTGAGGTGACAGGATCTTCATCAACATCACTGAATTACCCTGGCAACAGAGAGGACATTGGACTAAATGTTTACTAGCTCTAGAGCATTCCTTAAAAATGGGTAAGTCTGTAGGGGTGTCAATGTGTAAACATGGACCTCTTAGGAAATAAGATTTTCTATTTTTTTTCTTGATTCATTAAGAGACGGGGTTGTTGCTAAGTTAGCAGGTTGACATTTAATTCTGACATATAAATGTCACACTCATTTGGTCAAGGAGAACTATGTCAAACCATCCTCAGATAAACTCACATACCTTCTCAGATAATCTCAATGCAAAATAAAAAAAAGATAAACTAAGACGTCATCACAGAAATTAAATATATGTTCCATGAAAAAAATTGCAATGCTTTGTGATAGACTCCTTATAGGAAAAAAGATTTAGAAACACAAGATATTCATCAACAGTACTAGTCTAGATGTTCACAGAATAACCCTCTTTCTCTTTATGCCAAACAGCAATGTGTGCAGCTAAGGAATCTTCTATTATCACACTGAAAATGTCTTTTTTCCGAAAGAGTAAAAACAGCACAGGCACCTCATTAAATACCAGTGCATTTGAGTAAAGTCTTACTTTCAAGAAGACAGATCACAAAAAAAAATTGGGGGGCTATTTTTAGATATTTGAAGAAAAACAGAACTTCCAGCCTCTATTGTATATAAGAATTGCTTAAAATACCTTTATAAACATAAGCCATAGCATTGAAGGCTATTAATTTCACTGAAAATGAATCATGAGGTACCAAAAACGTCTGTACATACAATCAGTCTGCATTTCCCATAAAAAGGGGAATGATTTGCATGCATCCTGAAATACATTTTCCTTAAGCAAAATTTTAGATATTTCAAGTAAATGGAATGGATTGATTTTTCTTCCAAATGCAGTGAAATTAAATGAAACTAGGTTTCTTCAGCAGTATATCACTTAGCAGCAGATTTTTCTCTCTTCAACACACAGGAAAAAAAAAATACTTTATCCCTCCAAAAACAGACCTGAAATGCAGAGCTCAGTACCAAAACCTGGGCCAAGAAGATACTGAATGAGCTTATCAGGAGGCATGAGGGAGACTGTTCCATAAATAGTTTGAAGCTGAAGGTAAACAGTAGCATCACTATCAATAAGTGCAAATTATGACATTGGCAAAGTCCCTTATCCACAGTTTATGAAACATCTGTTTATGAAATGTCTTAATGACAGAGTGAGGCGGTTGTGTTTGGAGGATGTTGAAGACAGATGCAAAGAAGCCATCTCATGCCAACTAGCTGAATTTGAAATTTTGCTGAGTTACACATTATTTTATTTCAGTAAGCTAAAATCTGAATTCTATAGCAAATAAATCATAAAATCCTATATCCTCAAGCAACATGCGAGGCATTTGCCTTATTTGTGTTCATTTCACAGGAAAAAAAAAAAATGGTGATGGGAGGGCACGGTTTGCTTTCCTGAGCATTTTGTTCCTGGACAAGAGATACCCCATGTCACATCTGCCCATTCATCAAGTGACAATCCAGGCTGCCTTACTCTCCTCAATGTCTGTACTCTCTACCCATACTCTTTGCCCAGACAGCTTTTCCATCTCTGACACAACCCATGAGAAGAGAGAGAATCACTCAGCCTAAGTATGCTGTATGCAAATATATGGTGGAAAGATTTTTAAAATATTTACTCTGCCAGAAAAAATGTGGTTTTCCACTTAACTTAATACCTCTTAACACTGTGCCACCTTGGCCGAACTGATTATTACGAGATGAATGATTTTCTGGTTTTTAATTATTACTGCGCACAGTCACTGATCTTTATAAAGTCCTCCCCTGGTCAGCTGTTTTATTTGTTAAACAAATATTTATTCAGTGCCTACAATGTGCCAGGTGCTAATTTACCACAGTCACTGACCTAAGGTCACCAGCAACCAGCTGTAATGCAATAAGTGGTTCTGAAAAATTCAACTACATAATTGTTGAGTTTGCATCATTATCATTTTAATAGAAATGACTGAGGTGAGCCTGCCCACCCACTCGGCCAGAAGTTCCAGGGGTCTTAGCTGTCCACTCAAATCCATCCCTTCCTGGCTGTATTTGGCAGTGTCTATCTGGTGAGAGCTATCTACTCTGAAATAAATATCAATGGGAACAACTCTGGGTCCTACACTAGCTACAACTTCCAGGTCACCTCATTAGGTACCACCCACCTGGAGAGGCTGGGCCAGGAGAAATCGGGGGTCTTCTTCTTTCTCTGACTCTAAAAGGCAGCTGTTTGCCATTCTCTTGCCTCCACATTCCCCTTACCCTTCTGCAAAAGTTAAGAAATGTAGCCACTCCCTATTTCAGGGTAAAGATGGGCACCAATAGCAATACCTTCTATCTGGGGCTTATTATTGTAGGTTTTACTACACTTTCCTGAACAACACCTGGGAAATTTACAACAATATCACTTCATGATCAAGTAGACTGGTTGAAAAATGCTGCTTGGGAATGTTTTTTTCTCTAAATGCAGAGTTCTTTCTTCCTATGACTCAGGTATCACAGGATAGATCAAAAGACCCAACACAGAATGGAGATGTTGGAACTGGATACAAGACCCTCTTCCACATGCCACGTATAGAGTGCTACAATGCAATGAAATGCCAAGTGCACCATCGGCTAGTTACTAAGGACTGGATTTCTTGTTTTTCTTTGCTCACTCTTACCTTTATTCCCACCCATAATACTGCTTCTCAGACAGATTTCAATCAAGTGACAACAAATTTCTAAACAACTAATTCTGGAATCAAGCAATGGTTGAAATTTTGGAAGTATGTATCCGAAGGCCACAAATAAAATAGTGAGGACATTTTCACTTGGTGAGGACTGTTTCCTGTTCTATTTGGGACAGTTTCACTTAACCACATGTCCTCAGATTCTAATCTCTAATACTGCTCAGGGAGGGTGGAGGTTCCACAGCCCAGAAAATGATTTCAAAGTTTTTTTCTAATGAAAGTTCACACTTATGCCAGAAACACTGTCCAATTTTAGAAAATAACATGGGAGGCATTTGCCTTATTTGTGTTCATTTCACAGGAAAAAAAAAAAATGGTGATGGGAGGGCACGGTTTGCTTTCCTGAGCATTTTGTTCCTGGACAAGAGATACCCCATGTCACATCTGCCCATTCATCAAGTGACAATCCAGGCTGCCTTACTCTCCTCAATGTCTGTACTCTCTACCCATACTCTTTGCCCAGACAGCTTTTCCATCTCTGACACAACCCATGAGAAGAGAGAGAATCACTCAGCCTAAGTATGCTGTATGCAAATATATGGTGGAAAGATTTTTAAAATATTTACTCTGCCAGAAAAAATGTGGTTTTCCACTTAACTTAATACCTCTTAACACTGTGCCACCTTGGCCGAACTGATTATTACGAGATGAATGATTTTCTGGTTTTTAATTATTACTGCGCACAGTCACTGATCTTTATAAAGTCCTCCCCTGGTCAGCTGTTTTATTTGTTAAACAAATATTTATTCAGTGCCTACAATGTGCCAGGTGCTAATTTACCACAGTCACTGACCTAAGGTCACCAGCAACCAGCTGTAATGCAATAAGTGGTTCTGAAAAATTCAACTACATAATTGTTGAGTTTGCATCATTATCATTTTAATAGAAATGACTGAGGTGAGCCTGCCCACCCACTCGGCCAGAAGTTCCAGGGGTCTTAGCTGTCCACTCAAATCCATCCCTTCCTGGCTGTATTTGGCAGTGTCTATCTGGTGAGAGCTATCTACTCTGAAATAAATATCAATGGGAACAACTCTGGGTCCTACACTAGCTACAACTTCCAGGTCACCTCATTAGGTACCACCCACCTGGAGAGGCTGGGCCAGGAGAAATCGGGGGTCTTCTTCTTTCTCTGACTCTAAAAGGCAGCTGTTTGCCATTCTCTTGCCTCCACATTCCCCTTACCCTTCTGCAAAAGTTAAGAAATGTAGCCACTCCCTATTTCAGGGTAAAGATGGGCACCAATAGCAATACCTTCTATCTGGGGCTTATTATTGTAGGTTTTACTACACTTTCCTGAACAACACCTGGGAAATTTACAACAATATCACTTCATGATCAAGTAGACTGGTTGAAAAATGCTGCTTGGGAATGTTTTTTTCTCTAAATGCAGAGTTCTTTCTTCCTATGACTCAGGTATCACAGGATAGATCAAAAGACCCAACACAGAATGGAGATGTTGGAACTGGATACAAGACCCTCTTCCACATGCCACGTATAGAGTGCTACAATGCAATGAAATGCCAAGTGCACCATCGGCTAGTTACTAAGGACTGGATTTCTTGTTTTTCTTTGCTCACTCTTACCTTTATTCCCACCCATAATACTGCTTCTCAGACAGATTTCAATCAAGTGACAACAAATTTCTAAACAACTAATTCTGGAATCAAGCAATGGTTGAAATTTTGGAAGTATGTATCCGAAGGCCACAAATAAAATAGTGAGGACATTTTCACTTGGTGAGGACTGTTTCCTGTTCTATTTGGGACAGTTTCACTTAACCACATGTCCTCAGATTCTAATCTCTAATACTGCTCAGGGAGGGTGGAGGTTCCACAGCCCAGAAAATGATTTCAAAGTTTTTTTCTAATGAAAGTTCACACTTATGCCAGAAACACTGTCCAATTTTAGAAAATACACAAGTACTCACTTGTTTAGCCTTGGTCTTTGTGATGGTGTCAGAAATAGGTTTCTTCCTCTCCTTTACAGCAGTTTTGGAAAATAATTCCTCAAATTCATGACAATCTATAGATGGTTCTTCAATTTTTTCCCAAATAAGTAAAGCACTGGAGTCTCTAAAGTTAAGCAAAACACCAAATGAAAGAACCATCGAACCAAACTACAAGATATCATGGTTAGCGTAAACATAAAGGAAGAAGGGAAAAAAGAGAAAGGCAGAAGAGAAAACAAGGATGAAAAGTCAGGAAGGAATGACACATCGAAGGAAGGAAGGAATGAAAAGAGGCGAACGGGCGGGAAGACAGGAAAAGGGAAAGAATACTCTTATTGAAGACTACCATTTGTTTTATTGACCTGATAAGAAAGTTAAAATACTATTAATATAGAAGGAAACCTTTGCCTAGATATAATTTCCAGGAATTCTCAGTTATCAAATCTGTGTATAAAAACATAAAAGAAAAACTCCTCTCAGTATAGGCAATAAAGGTAGGAAACGTTTTCATATACAATCCCAACTTGATTCATCAGCTTTGTAGATTATTCGTGGGTTAAAAAATAAATCATTTTATGACCCAAGGCAGCATCCTCCATCTCCCTCTCACTTCCCATCACCTAATTATTATCTGACTTCGTAAAAACTAGATGCATGTACTACCACCTAAAAAGGGTAGATCTATTTTTTAAAAAGAAAAACAAACAAACAAAACTCTTAATATATCTGGAAAAAAATGAGTTTGGGGCATGGTTTAAAATGATGCATCAAACATATATATATGACATGATAACTATAAAGAGAATGAGCTATAAAGTTTGAAGTAATCAAAATGCATAGATTGTTTCCCCTAATATAATTCAGTGAAGAGAAAAAAAAAATAAGATAAGAACGAGCCCGGTAAATATCCTGTTTCTAAATGCACGCCACATCAGCTAGACAAAATTCAAAGTATCGTCAAAAGTTAGAACAAGGAAGGCCACTAAAGTTTAAAGCGCATGTTTTTTCTCCTACCAGCACAGCCGAGCATCACTGCACTGTCCCAGGGATAAGGGAGCACAGCTACATGTTATGTGTGGATAAGTGACATGCTACCAGCATACCTGGGGGCAAGTATTCGTTAATAAGTATCATTTCCAGCTATGATATAACTGCATACTATATCATCAATATTCTATGTAAGTGCCATGAAATTCTCAAAGCTAAATTATTTCACACATAGGGTGTGGATATGTGTATTTTTGTGTAGCACATTTCTGAAGAGAAAGACTACTGCAAACAGAATGGAATGGTAAAAGAAGGCTGTGCCTTCAAAAGGAAGCAAACATCCTCCGCAGTTAGTCTGTCTAAGGATCTGATTCACATTTGTCAAAGTGAAGTTCTGCAACTAGGTATCAGGGCATGTACACTAAGAAAAATATATCCCTCTATCTTTAAAAGATCAATCAATAACTTTACAGAAACCTGTACATGTTATACACTGATACGTAATATCATTTGTTTTATCCTTTTGATAATTCCAGAGAAAAGTCTAAACTTTTAAATAACAAGAGTGTTTCACTAAATTTTGATTTAAAATCTAAAGATAAATTTCAGAGCAATACTTAAAAATACATCAAATTGTAATTTTTCCCAAGAGTTTTAAAGGAAAATGCTTCCTTCAGATTGACGACCTCACATTCACGTTACCTTTTGCTGTGCAGTTGAATTCTCGTCCAGTACAGAGGCTTCATTGGCCGACAAGGCTCTATTGGCTGCTTCCTAATCCCTTTGTCCTGGCTCGTCCCTAATCCAAACCAGCCAGTTGGTAATGGAGGGGGAAGAAATCCACACATCTGTGATATTGGTAAAGTGCTACTCCCAACTTGTGGGGTGGGTAGAGGGCCAGATCCAGGAAGCAGAGTAGGTGGTTGGGGTGAGGTGATGCCTGTTCCAGGACAGGGAGGAGGAGCGGGAGCAGGTGGAATACCCATACCTGGCAAAGGAGGAGGTGGGGGGATCCCAGCTCCGGGCAGAGGTGGGGGAGGAGGTATGCCTGCACCGAGAAGAGGGGGTGGAGGAGGTATGCCCGCTCCAGGCAGAGGAGGGGGAGGGGGTATTCCCTCACCAGGCAAAGGTGGGGGAGGGGGTATTCCCATTCCAGGAAGAGTGGGGGGAGGAGGTATTCCTACTCCAGGAAGAGGAGGGGGAGGAGGTATTCCTTCACCAGGCAAAGGTGGGGGAGGGGGTATTACCACTCCGGGCAGAGTGGGGGGAGGAGGTATGCCTGCTCCAGGCAGAGGAGGAGGAGGGGGTATTCCCATTCTAGGAAGAGAAGGGGGAGGAGGTATGCCCGCTCCAGGCAGAGGAGGGGGAGGAGGTATTCTCTCACCAGGCAAAGGTGGGGGAGGGGGTATTCCCACTCCAGGAAGAGGTGGAGGGAAAGGTATTCCCATTCCGGGAAGAGGCGGGGGAGGAGGTATGCCCACTCCGGGAAGAGGAGGGGGAGGGGGTATTCCCTCACCTGGCAAAGGTGGGGGAGGGGGTATTCCCACTCCAGGCAAAGGTGGGGGAGGGGATATTCCCTCACCAGGCAAAGGTGGAGGAGGGGGTATTCCCACTCCAGGCAAAGGTGGGGGAGAGGGTATTCCCACTCCAGGCAAAGGTGCGGGAGGGGATGGCAGCATTTCTGTACCAGGCACAGAGAGAGGTTGGGGGGTTGCTGTACTGAGCAGAGAAGGCCCTGTCCTGCCAGGGACGGGGGGAGGGGCGGGAGCCACCGCGCCCAGGCGAGGCATGGGACTGGAAGCCTCTCTGCAAGGCAGAGGTGGTGGGGGTGGGATGTTACAGCTGTTTTCAAAGGAAGATAAAACAGAGTGTTCACGGCTGGTTTCAAACTCAGTCTGAAGAGAAGGATGGTAAGGCTGTGGCCTGACCTGGCCTTGACTATCGGACCATGGAAGGGATAGAGATGGCGGAGGCTGAATGGACTGATGTGCGTCGAGCTGTACTGATATTTGCCTTGGAGTCACAATCAAAGAAATCTCTGAACAGAATTTTGTCTGAAGCCCAGAAGGTGAGGCTAGCACAGATGGGTCTCCACTTTCAGCCGCGGGCGGGCGCGAGGGACCCTCCGGCAATGCATCACCAGAAGGCGGCGTCAGTACCTTGCCCTCTTCCATTGGGGACGTCTGGATTGATTTTGCCTGTAAAATCCTTTGATGCCTTACATCCTCTTCTAACCTGAGAGCTTCGAGACAGACATCTTCTGAGGGGGTCACTCCATTCTGAACCCCGTGACGGCCGCTGGCCACGTCCATGTCCGCAGCCGGGTACTGCTTCTCTAGTTCAGCTATTTTGGTCCTCAGATCCTCAATGGTCTGTTCCAGCTGCTGAATTACAGTTGCCTGTCCCTCAAACTTCATGTCTACAGCCTCCTAAAGGGCAACAAAGACAGATATAGTTAAATATAAAATAAGAAACCCTTCAAATATATATTTAAAAAAGACTTACAAAATTAAACAAAATAGATTAGTTTGTTATAATACTTTCAGAAAGACTCCTCCACCCTCAGATTTCAAAGTGGTTTACACTCATTACCATAAAATCCTAACGCCTTTGTTTATCTAATTTTTTAAACGATATCACTGAAGACAAGTAGAGCACTGAGGAAAGAAAGTCCTCAGAATTTTCTCACTCAGGATACCCTCCAAGTAGGCTTCTTTCCCACCTAGTAACATTTGCTAGTGGGATGTTCCCTAGAGACATTTTAAATCCTATATTTTAAAGGTACTCACTGAAAGAGTCTCCAATAAGATTATGTGAAATATTTTTAACATTCATATGGGCATGAGCATATATTTCATGCACATGTGTCAGACCACATATCGTGTTTACTATAATTTTAATATTTTACTCAAGGCATTTAAGAAAGTGATACCTTATGCTCTCCACAATTTATAGAGATGGCTGGTAACAATTGTGCCAATGTACAGGTCACCCTCATATCTAAATGGGGTCCTCCTTTCACAAGTCATATGTACAGTCAACTGTGAATCTTTTGAGGAAAAAAATACTTCGGTAGAAAAAAAGGGGAAAAGACCTGTGGGTAAATTAAATATGGATAACAGATAAGTAAAAAGAAAAGAGAAAAAGAAGGAATGGAAAAAGAAAAAGGAGGAAAAAAAGGAATAGTAGAAGGTAGAAGAGAAGGGAGGGCAAACCCCAGCTGCATGAAGCTGTACTGTCAGACAGCTGCTCACACAGTCTTGGATTTGCTCTCAAGGCTGGAATGAAAGGTAGAGTAAGAGAGTTCTCATGCTGAGAACTATTTCTCCAGGGCATCTCAGGTCTTTTCAAAAATAATCCCAACAGCGCCATAATCCACAGGAGTACACATCGACTGTCTTCCGCACACAGGCAAGAATAATTATGGAAGAATAATTAAAAGGTAATATGAAGATGATATCACGTATAAAACTAAGTGCTTATCCTGCTTGCTCAAGGTTAAACTCTGGATCCAAGAAAAGTCTACACAAAATAAAAAACTTTTTCTTTACTCTCATTAAATCCAAAATAAATATCTAATGCATTTGCAGTGGAAAAACGGCAGATGAATGAGACAAAAATGAGTATTTACTACGAATGAAGCATTTTTGATGCTATAGGTATATTTGTAAAAAATCTTCAGATTTACATTTTTTTTCCATGGGGATAGAAAAGGTATAAACTTAATAGCCTTGATCCTAACTCCTGCTACTTCTTCCCTGTAAACTCTACCTTTTAATGAAATATTTAACTCTCTAAAGGTAATTATGATGCTTGTTGAGAGAAGAGAACTTGAAACTTTAGAGACATAGCCTTATACAAGGTGCTTGATTTCCCTGTAATCAAAAAATATCAAGTACACCTAAGGGGGCAAGCCCAACGGAGCAGCCTCTACCTTGGCGACGTCCGCTCTGCCCAGTATATCCCTGAGATGCAGCCTCTTGCATCTCCTCCAGATGCAAGTGAATTTCATCTTGAGAAAGTCTGTCCACTCTGTGACTGTGACCAGAATCCCAGTCTCACAGGGACAGAAAAGAAAAGGAGTGGAATACAGTCCTGCTGGCTTGATGAAACCGGAAAGGCTCTCCAATTTGGACTGCCGCCTAAGACTCTGGAGACTTGAGTTTCACCCCAGCCCCCAAAGATGACCTCTAAAGCCTGACAGTGAATCTTTGCTCTGTGTGCCTTGCCAACCCGGAACTGGCTGAGGTGGTTAGCAGAGCAGTGTCAGGTGGCCACACTTTGTTGCAGTGGCAGGAGACTACAGTCTGGCAACTGATATCATTGATGGCCATGCCCAGCACTGCCCAGACCTCTGTGTGATCTGGGTCGATGCCCACGTGACATCAGTACGCCCCTCACCACTTCATCCGGCAATCTCCATGCACAGCCAGTTTCATTTCTCCTACAGAACTACGGGACAAGGTACCACAGCTCCCAGGATTTTCCTGGATAAAACCTTGTATCTCTTCCCCAAGTATCATGTATATTGGTCTAAGACATGTGGACCGGCCTGCCCAAAAACCCCACCCCCCACCGCCCTGTAATTCTTTTATTTTAAAGAATTACGATATCCAGTATTTTTCCGTGAGAGGCAGAGATCAACTTGGTATCCAGAAGATCATGGCACGGACATTTCACCTGCTGACTGGCGAAATTCGGAGGCCAATCCATATGAGTTTTGATATTGATGCACCTGACCCTGCACTGGCTCCAGCCATGGGAACTTCCGTTGTTGGGGGACTGACCTATGGAGAAGGTACATATATGACTGAGGAAGTTGTCCCCAGTATAGGGCTGCCGCCAGCACTGGCTCTTGCTGAAGTCATTCATTCCCAGCTGGCTGCTTCCAAGGAGGGAAGCCAGGGCCCAGTGGCCCAGTGGTGGATGTGGCTGCTCCAAGTTCTGGTCAGACGGGGAGGGAGGGCGCAATGTCTTTGACCAGCTTCCTGCTGCCCGTTCACCGGACGGATCAGAAAACGAGAAACATGTGAGAACTTAGGAAACCCTCTGAGCTGACACATGCTCATCACAATGGGCGTTCCAGAGTAGTGAGGTGTTTGAGGGGACAGATACTACCCGGTCATCTGGGTCAACGATGCCTTCGTGGGAGCGTCTGCACATTCTCACAACTGTAGTTTCCTTTCCCCTCCATTTTGATGACCAGTAATACTGCTGTAAATGAATTTGGTTTTTTGCAGTTCACAGGATATTAATATGTTGGAGTACTATGTAAATTTAAAGAAGTCATAAATAGTATTTATTGCTTTCATATATCATATCAAAAAAAAAAAAATACCAAGTAGCCATAACTATGGAAAGAAACTGAAAACTACTTTTCAACTAATAAAGAAATGTAACACACTTTAAATAGGCAAAATTTTGAGAGGCACTTTTTATTTATATGTAAATATAGGTATTAATATATATACAAATATAAATACTTTAAATCACTATTTTTCACCAATGTCTACACAAAGCATTACAATGCATATTTTGGGAAATTGTGCCATATATTTTCTAAATAATCCATAGTACAATAGCTGTAATAAACAATATCTTGTTTGGCCACTGTACTTAATTCCTCTCCAATTATGATGTTAATAAGTATGAGAATAAGCCAGAAGCCAAAATCTAGGCCCAAACTGATGTTAATAAAAAGTTTAACTATTCAGTATTTCTTCCTTACTTTTAATTATTAAACTGTATAAATTATTTTCATTTTTCCAGCATAACCTTAAAAGTGACCCTTAAGCATTAATAAGTATTTTTTTTTTTAAATAATCCTAGTATATAAGTAGGGCTCTCATTTTCCCATTTATATAACGATCATATAAAAAGATTAGTTGGTGAAAGGCATGCAAGAAGTAAATTCTGGAAGTTTTCCAAAACTCAGTTTCTAAATGTTATTACCTAGGCCAGCTCTTTTTCATCATAGATTTGAATATAATAAAAACAGTATAAAAAGTAAAAGACATGAAGAAAGCAGAGAAAGAGGAGGAGGAGAAATTAATCCTAAATCACAACAACCCAGCACAAGAGCATTTATTATACCACTTCCTACATGGGTTCAGGCCCCCACATTTCCAGGCCAACCAGCCCAACACAACTCTCAAAGCCAATGATCGCTGAAGTTATGGTACCAGTGATTGGGAAGATTCCTGGGATTTTTATCCTTTCTATCATTTGCACAGCTGGTAGGAAAAAAATATATAAAAGAGCATCCTATTACACATAACTAGTACCAGAAAAAGACTTTTTAAATGGAATCAACTTGAGACAATTTGGCAGTTACTTTAGATTGGCTCTCCCAGCCTCCAGCTGCCTCTCCTTCTATGTATAGAAGTGGGAAGAAAAACTACATTTATAGACACCCTTGCAGCTAGGTTAATCCAATTAGATACAGTTGAACAGAGATTTAAAAAGTAGAAAACAGTTGAACAGAGATTTAAAAAGTAGAAAGCACACTCCTGTGTGCCTTGACTATTCTGTGAGCAATCAAGATCTGCTAACTTGAAGCTGCTCAAAACAACATTCCAGTGTTCACTCTCCAACATCCAATGGCTTTAGCTTCCCTAGCAGACCAATTGTAGATGATTCCTTTGAAAGGTTTCCACCTAGAAGCAGATCTTTCAAACCTTCTAAACTTACCACGTAAAATAATTTTACATAGTAAACTAATTATAGTTTTACTATATAAAACTAACTTTATATAGTAAACTCTTTGATTTATTATACTTAGACGGTTTCTGGTTTCTTCAACAAAGAGTGACTGATATGACCACGTACTAATATTTCAAAATAAATTGTGGAGGAATAAAAGGTTCTTTCTGTAAGCAGCTTGACGTGATCTCTGAAAATGGTTTGCAATTTACTTGACCCAGAAAACTCACCAACATCATGCAAATCAAGAGGCTCAAATATTCAAGTTTGCTTTATGAACACTCATGAAACTGCCTAGGCCAAACGGGTATGCACGTGGGAAAAGCCACCAAGTATCTGAAAGATGTCACCTTAGAGAAGCAATGCATGCCATTCCTCTATTATGATGGTGGAACTGGTGAGTGTGCCAAAGCCAGACAGGGGCGCTGGACACAGGATCAATGGCCCAAAATTAATGCTGAACTTCTGCTGCATATGTTTGAAAATGCAGAATAATGCTGAACTTAAAGGTTTAGACATGGAGTCTCTGGTCACTGAGCACACCCAGATGAACAAAGCCCCCAGTGTGCACAGCTGGACGTACAGGCTAACCCTACCCGAGCTCCCCCTGCCACACCGAGATGATCCTCACTGAAAAAGGGCAGATTGTTTCTAAACCTGAAGAGGAGATTGAACAGAAGAAAAAGATTTCCCAAAAGAAAATGAAGAAACAAAAACTTATGGCCTAGGGATAAATTCAGCATAAAACAAATGCAAATAAAAGTTTCTAAAATTGTGAGGGAAAATTATTTTTCCCCAAAACATAATATTAAAATATTAAAAATTAAACTACATCGCCTTATTTCTAAAAGTTTATCATAATGGTAAACAAAAATAAATTGTTAGAA